TTTTGATTTGGATTTCCCTGATGCCAAGCGATGTTGAGCACTTTTTTATGTGTCTGTTGGCCATTTGGATGTCTTCGTTAGAAAAATGTCTGTTCATGAATAGACGATCTTTTCAAGCACTGTGACCGTGGAGGGGAGGTGGGCAAGTAGACAGTAGCTAGAGAAAAACAAAGTGCGAGAGGGGGCTGCTTACGAATATTTTTAATGAGAGAGAGGTAAAAGGGAGCCTGTTGCAAAGGAGAGCTTGCAAGTGTAGGAGAGTGATCAGTGACACAGGATGGCTTGCCTGGGATGTAGAAACGGGCATTTCCTCCTCTGGAGAAGGGGGAGTGGAGTGAAGACAGGTGTGAGTGCAGCTAAGCGGTGGGCAGGGCTGGGGCTGGAGGGGCTGTGTACGCAGCAGCAGGGACGTGAGGTGACGACTTATTCCCTGAGGACTGGAAACAAGCAGAAAGGTGGGGGCATGGGAAGTCAGTGCTGGTGATCTGACATACAGCGGGGTGTCTGTGTGCATGTGTGTTCACAGGTGGGGTTTTTTGGGTTTTACTTTCATTTGGTTTAGTTGTCTTTATGAAAAATTAATTTAGCAATTTAAGAATCAATTAAGCATGGGCTCTTAGTTTTACTCCTGCTACTATGTATACTGCAATTTAAATATCATGCTTTTTGTGTGCAAATGTAGGCGCAAATGAGGCTGTGATCCTATCATGATTAAACATACATTATGAACTGCAGTTTCTTTTGGTTCTGGACAGGACTACCTTGAAATTAAAAGAATGATTTTCCCAAGATTTTACTTTCTTAGCAACGCTGAACTCCTTGATATTCTAGCTGATAGCGGAACTCCTGAGTCTGTACAGGTAATATTATTCTCTGCTCAGTGACATTATTTCCCAACCAGGTCAGAATTTTATAGTGTTATTGATGCTTGTTTCTGGTCCACAGCCTCATCTTGTGAAGTGTTTTGAAAATATAAAACAATTACTGATATGGAAACAAGAAATCGGACCTCCTGCTGTGATAATGCTCATATCTGCTGAGGGGGAGACTCTTCTGTTGCCCAAGTAGGACCTATGTGTTATGAATTAAGCATTCAGACTCTATAAAACTTCACTATTTAAAACCTCTGTTTGGAAATTTCTGATATTTCGTAGAAGTTTGCTAAGCAAACTGTCTCTTCAAAGATACGTACTTAATGCAGATTTTTACTTTTCCATGTGTATATTCATTGGTATTATCCTGAATGCCAAAATGGGGTTTTATTATAGGCACTTAGGAAGGAACTTTACTATTTATTTGGTGTTGTTAATGCTGCCCCCGGTCCCTGACCCCATGGCCCGGCTGGCTGTGAACAACTCCAGGCCGGTGTCAACAACTGGGTCCTGCCACCACACTGGTCCAGTTTGCCTGCCAGCCTGTGGCATGTGGCTCCTGATGGGAGTTGATGAAAACATGCTGCGTCCAAGTGTTCCCATCCACCAGAGTCCCTAACCCAACCCTGACCTCAGCTGGCTGTTTAAAGAGCTTTGTGATACAACTTACCTACTTCGTCAGTTCACGTTTTACCAGAACCTCTTAATTTTGTAAATCCATGGTTTCGATGTCAGAATTCCCTAAAGTTAGGTGATATTTTGTCTGCATAGCTTTCAAAATTGAGATCTAGAAAAAACAAAATTAGAGAATTATGGTCCTTTGGCCTGTGAATGGTGTAAGTGTAGAAAAGTTAGTCTACAGCCTTATCAAAGGAGTGAAACATGGATAAAAATTGTTTGCAAATTATTTTTGAAAAAATTATAGGAAAATTCGTGTAAGAAGTGCTGTGGAACAGTGGCTGGTGAATGTAGAGAAGAGCATGTTTGATGTGCTGAAAAAGTGAGTACAATTTTTAACCCTAAGATTACATTATATATATTTAAGCTTAATTATCTGCTAATCCAAGTGGGAAGTATCTGCAGAAATGTATGGAGTAAAGTTTCATGAAATGGGTTTTGATAGAACATGACAGCACATGGCTGAAGGGAAAATAAGCATTTTTTTACAGTGTGAATATTTCAGTTGGAAAGCATGATCAGGGAGTGCATTCGGGCGGGTTCTGTGTGCTTGGGACTCACGCCTATCTGCAAACTGGCCAGGAGCTGGACTCGTGGCGGCACGTTGCTGCCTGCTTTCTGAGGACCCCATGCGCAGCAGGCTCGGTTTGCAGCCCACCCCATTTCTGCTTCCTCGCAGTGCTTGCTTGGTTCAGGCCTTGTAATGTTCTCCTTTGTAACTTCCAGTCCGTTTAGAGTGAAGAAAGAGCCTCAGAGTGTGAACTTTTCAACGAATTTCCTAGAGCCGTCTTGTGCATTTCTAATTATTTGTGGTTGGTTATAGAAAGGCTATTTATTGGTCTTGGGGTTTTAATATCTATGTTTATGAATATGATCCTGAATGCCAACACAAGACTTCTAGAGCAGAGCAGATTATTACTTACTCCATAAATAACCAGGATGACTTTCCTTGGCTCCATTTCTTCCCTGGGGTGACGTGATGAGAGCCAGATGTCTACATGTGAGGGCAAGGAACCCTGAAAAATGCATCTGGACACTTGAGGGACAAACCGATTTTCACTTGTTGCACTGGGACTTTTGTCAGACAATCTGATCATTTACTATTAATGATAGTTCTTTCTCTTTTTTTACAGTCCTTTTAGAAATGTCTCTTCCTCTTCCTGTTATTTAGGATGATAAATTTTGTGCAGTGTTGAAAAGTACAGATGACAGTGAGCATCCTTCTTTGGTTCCTAATTTTACTGGGAACATTTCTAACGTTTCATTGTCTGTTATGATGCTTGGATTTCTGGAATATACCCCTCATCAAAGTAAAGAGTTTTATTCTATTCCTTGTGTGTAAAGTTTTTAATAATTAAAGGATGTCTCATTTGTTCAAAGTTTTTTTAATGAATCTGTCAAGAAACCCAAATACTCTTTTGCCTTTAATTTGTGGTTGTCATGAATTTCCTTATGTTGAACTTCCCTTGATTTTCCTGTTCATTTTTTGGTCCACTTACTTTATTTTCTAGAAAACTGTATTAAACATTTCCTCCTTTTCTGTGGGTTTGTCCTTACCCTTTTTTTTTAAATTTCTAGCATTTATTTCTAATAAATAACTGTGTCACCAGCCCTGTTGGCTCCCTTGACCTTGTCCCCATGTCTGCAAAGAGTCCTTTCATTGAACTCTTGAGGTACCCTTTGCATGCATGTGCCCTCCTGCTTCACTGCTCCCCATCCCATTGTATGTCTTTCAATCACCAGGCTTTTGGTCTGGGGGGTTTCACTTACTGTTGTTATATTGAGTTTCTTCATGTCTTTTGGGGCAGCCATGCCAAAGTCATAAGCAGTTCCTTTTATCTAGTGAATACTCTTTAAATGTTAATGTACAAAGTGAAACATATTTTTATCAAAGCCTACAGTAAATATCTCTGATTTGTCCACAGTGAGCATGGATCACTTCATAATACCCTTCCATCACCGCCTCCTTGTTGTAATCATGCAGGATTTTATTCCAAATGACGCTAGTTCTCAGTTTATGGATCAGTAATTATCTAGTCTTAGTAAGGTTCTTGGTTTGTTTTGTTTTTGTTCATTACCAATTCATAAGTCTCACATTTTAGAGTTTGTTTTCCTTGTGCTATATATATTTCCAAGTAATATTTTCCGGAAAACATCTGTGAGTGGCAAATATTTTTATTTTTCCCTCTTGCAGGCTAGTTGAACGGAATTAATTTTAAGTTCAAATCCAATTTGTTGAATGCTAGCTCCCCAAAATGTGACCCAAACAACGTGTTGATAAGACAGAGCTGAGTGTGTGGGGTAAAGGAGAAGCCCTACTGAGAGCCCCCCCAGAGCGCCCAGGCGAGGAAGGGTTAAACTGGGATGTGTGTCCTGTTGCAGTCTGGTTTCAGGCAGGCCTTGCAGTGTGGGGCTTGATTACGGCTGGGTAGAGATCAGGGGACAGCCGTTTGGGATTGGAGGACACAGAGCAGGGGCTGCCCTTTGACGGTGGGTTTTGGAAAAAGCATCATTTTTGTTTTCACACGTGACAGAATGGTGAGGTATTATCTTCATCACGCATTCAATTTGGCAAAACAGTGTCTTCTACCTGGAACCTTTTCTGAGCTTTTGAGTACATACTTTCACTATTCCCTTTGGGGAAATGATTTCTCTTTCATCAAATATCACAGGGCCTGGCGGTGTTTGATCTCACCAGAGCATGTTCGCACGGCACACGCCCTGCTGGTGGAGCGATTGTCAAATGCCAGAGATGCCCCTGATCTCCGAGAGCTTCAGCCGGTGTTAGAACCGGTAAAGGAGCGGTCTGTGGCTGCGTGAGCTTTGTTAACACTGCTTCCCCAGGTTCCTGCTTCCGTTGGTTGTCCGTTCACAGTCAGACCGGCGAGCCCCTCTCCCTCTCCCAGCGGGTGCTCCTGGGAATCACAGAGGCCCCCTGTGCGCACGGCTGCGGGTCGCAGGACGGATGCGCAGCCCCAGGCTGGGCACACCTTCCAGTGCATGGATGTTCCTTTCCATTTCTCCTGGACGCTGCAAACTGCCTTTGTCACTTCCCCGGCGCACGGGTTCCAGCGCTGTTTCAGATACACCAGCCATGTCTTATGGGAAAATGCCAGGGTCGACAAACTTTGGTTCCTTTCTTCCCCTCTCTCCACTTCCTCTCTTCCTCCCTGTGCTTCCCACCGTGTTTTAGGATGTGTGGTGTGATTGCAGGCCCTACTCTGCTTCTCTTTCCAGCCTCATTGGCCCTCGGAGATTTGCATTCACAGTGGCCACCGGCCGCCGCTGAGTAGGGGGCGGGGGGTGTGGGGACAGGCAGAGGCCACTGCAGTCCCTACTTAGAAAGCTCTCTCCTCATCGTCCTGAAGAGCCAATCCCCCCTCCCTCTTGGGTGTGTCAAACTTGGCAGGAGTGTTCTTTGGTGGCTGTGCTCTTCTTTCTATCATTCAATCCAACTTTTCAAGTTGTGGATGCCCTGGAGCACACTTTCTTGTGTTCCAGGGTTTTCTGTGTGTGTGCATGTACATATGTGTGTATGTAGAATATATATGACATAGGTATTATTATATAGTATTCATATATTATCTGTCATTTGAAGGGATATGGTTCACGATGAAGACAGGATTATTAGGTCAAAAATCTTGATCCACTCTCTCCCAAGAGACTATAAAAAATCAGAATAAATATTTCCAAAACCCTGGAGGAAATAAAATAAGTGTGCTCTGTGTGTGTGTGTGTATTTATATAAATATAAACACAGGGCAAGTGTCAAAATAGAAGTAAGATCTTAATTAAAAGAAGATTTTGTCAAAAGAGAAATGGAACTACATGTTGTTTGAGAGATAAAGCAGTGCTACACAAAGTTGTGAATAAAAGCAGGAAAGACAGGTCACGTAACAGCAAGCAAAAAGAAAACAAAGACATAAAATAAAAGGTCGTTTTAATTGATGAAACATACATTTGCCACTGATGTTGTTTTGAAATATATAGAAAGTTGTTATAAACCTATTTCTCCCCAGTGGCAGTGATAAGAAAATAATAAGAACAGACACCATTTGCAATTACAGCAAAATTTAGAGGAACAAATATTCATTTTAAAAGTAAGCTAAATTCTTTTTTTTTTAAGATTTTATTTATTTATTTGACAAAGAGAGTGACACATGGAGAGAGGGAGCACAAGCAGGGGGGAATGGGAGAGGGAAAAGCGGGCTTCCCGTGGAGCAGGGAACCCGATGTGGGGCTCAATCCCAGGATCATGACCTGAGCTGAAGGCAGATGCTTAACGACTGAGCCACCCAGGTGCCCCAGTAAACTAAATTCTAAATTAAGTTGATAAGTAAGAAAAGAAGCCATCGAAGGAGAAGAAAATGAGTGAAGTTTAGTGTCGAGAATTTCCGACACATGACGTCAGTGATGAAATGTGAAGATTGATCGATTTGACTATGTAGAAACTAAACACTTCTGAGTGAAACAAACCCACTGTAACAATATGCAGACATACTCTGTTGGCACATATTAACTTGATCTTAAATAAAAATGTCTGCATATTTTTCATGAATCCTATTTTTTCCTTATGATTAATTTTTTTAAATCAACATATAATGTATTTGTTTCAGGGGTACCGGTCTGTGATTCATCAGTCTTATACAATTGACAGTGCTCACCACAGCACATACCCCTCCCAGTGTCCATCACCCAGCCACCCCATCCCTCCCACCCCCCTCCACTCCAGCAACCCTCCATATGTTTCCTGAGATTAAGAGTCTCTAATGGTTTGTCTCCCTCTCCAGTTTCCTCTTGTTTCATTTTTCCCTCCCTTCCCCTATGATCCTGTGTCTTGTTTCTCAAATTCCTCATATCAGTGAGATCATATGATACTTGTCTTTCTCTGATTGACTTATTTCGCTCAGCATAATACCTTCTAGTTCCATCCATGTCATTGCAAATGGCAAGATTTCATTCTTTTTGACAGCTGAGTAGTATTCCATTGTATATATATACCACATCTTCTTTATCCATTCATCTGTTGATGGACATCTGGGATCTTTCCACAGTTTGGCTATTGTGGACATTGCTGCTATAAACATCGGGGTGCACGTACCCCTTCAGATCCCTACATTTGTATCTTTGGGGTAAATACCCAGTAGTGCAATTGCTGGGTCGTCTCTATTTTCAACTTTTTGAGGAACCTCCATACTGTTTTCCAGAGTGGCTGCACCAGCTTGCATTCCCACCAACAGTGTAGGAGGGTTCCCCTTTCTCCACATCCTTGCCAACATCTGTCATTTCCTGACTTGTTAAATTTAGGCATTCTGATTGGTGTGGGGTGGTATCTCATTGAGGTTTTGACTTGTATTTCCCCCTTATGATTAATTTTTAAAGCTAAATGCAAGGCTTTACTGCTAAAATTCATTTGATGGTTTCAAATTATTTTAAATACTGATTTTGTCATTGCTAGTATTAGAAATTCAAAGCTAATACGTACCATCTCCCCCTTCTAGTTTTACCACCCCAGAAACTCAGTGGCTCTATTGGAGAAGTACTGGTGTTATTAAAGGGAAATTTAAGGAATACGCATTATGCATGAATGAATAAGGTTCTAACAACTCTAGCATTTGGTCCCATACACATATACCTAAGTTAGAATTAAAAAACCAGAGATCCTAAAGGAAAATCCCCTCGTGATGTTGTCATGCTTGATCATTAAATGGCCAGTATGATTACACGTAATAATAGACATAAAATGTTTTGTTTGTAGGTTTGTAAGTCAAGGGGTCGAAGACTGGAGCTGCCAGGCTTTTTCTACATGGGTGGTGTCTCATCCAGGACAAGTGGTCCTCATGGTGGTGAGTTAGTTTGTGGCTATTCTGCCAAGAAAGCAAAGATTTAGAAATAAACCATTACAATGGGTACTGATATATGTCGCTTACTTTGAAATGCATCAAAAAATGAGATGGACGGATGGATGGATACACGGACAGATATGTGAGAAAGTAAATACAACAAAAAATTAGTTAGAATATAGGTGGTGGGTATATGGGTGTTTGTTTTATAATTCAACTTTTTTATGGTTTTAAAATTGTTTCATAATAAAATGTTGAATGAAAATAAGTCATAAATTATTTTCTCAGGGATATCCCTCTATTGCATTGTATTTGGTGTCTATTGCTGTCATTAAAAAGTTGCCACAAACTTAGTTGCTTAAAACAGCACACGTTTGTTATCTCGCAGTGGGTTGAAGTCCTCCCTGGAGTCGCTGGTTAAAATCAAGGTGTCGGCAGGGCTGCATTCCTTCCTGGAGGCTCAGGGCAGAGTCCCTTCCCTTCTCTTTCCCAGCTTCTAGAGGCCACTGGCATGCCTTCATTTTTAAAGCCAGCCGTGTTTACATCTGTCTGCTCTTCTGTAGTCAAACCTCCCTCTGCTCGGAGGCAGAAAAAGTTCTCCAGGTTTAAGGGTACACACGGTCATACTGGCCCCACTCAGATAACCCAGAATACTCTCTCCATCTGAAGGTCTTGATTTCATCACACTTGTGAAGTCCGTTTTGCCATGTCAGGTGGCAACGGCACAGACTCTGGGGATTTGCTCAAGGATGTCTTTCCAGGGAGCCTTCATTCTGCCAAGTGTCACTGTTCTGGACCGCAAAGGAGGAAGAGAAACGAGGTGTGTGTGATAGCAAAGGAAGCCAAAACACGGGGTTCTTTGGAGAGCTCGTGAAGTAGTGGTCAAAGCCAGGACAGTAGGGAATTCCCCTGTAGACCATGTAGAATGAGAGAAGGACGAGGGTAGACCCCAGGGGACATCCCCCATTTAGCAAGCAGGCGAAGGAAGGGGCTCCATGAAGGACAATGCCAGAGGCGTCCTGGAAGCTACAGGAGCAGAGGGTGAACTGGACTGACTTTCCTCTGGAGATAGTGAGCGGTTGTCATGTTAAAATGCTCTGGAGAGGTCTGAAAAGTCTGTTACGCCTGTCGGTGATGAGAGTCCCCACGCACTTGGGGACAGTGGTTCTCCTGCCCTGATGGAGCCCAGCCCCATGAGGTACCATCATCAAGTGTTTGTAAAGCAGACTTGACTCTATTAAATTTAAAGATAGCATCACATCTTTTCACTGTGCCTTGCCCCACCACAACTCTCACGTCTCTGTTCAGATCACCTGGGATTCTGCACACAAATAATGATGTCCAATCTCCCCGGTCCCTTTCGTCGTGCATTTGACTGAATATTGATAAAATACTTGAAGATCCTGAGCTGCGAGGACTTGTTTAAGCTGTTGTCTACAAAGGCAGCAAAATGATGATGAATCAGTCTGGACATTTCTGTGGTTGACCAGGCATCCAGATAATCAGATCTGCTCTACAAAGAGAAGATCATCCCCAGGTCCCTGGTCCTCCAAATATGCTGACCAATAAGAAGCGGCTTGAACTGAAATCATTGAACAGACTTTACCAAATTTCCTCCCCTGTCTGCCCAGCCTGCTGCTAATTTCCCATCCCAGTGCACCACTGACAATGTCCCCTTCTCCTGCGCTTCTGCATGTGGAGCACTGCGGGGGTGGGGATGATAACGTGCCTGAATGTTCTGGCCACTGAGAATTTCAGTGCGGATTTATCCAAGCCACAACAGTGGACATTTCCCTTCTAGTTGTCTAAGGAAAGAAAGATCTGGTTCATAGCCCACCTCCCCAGAGCCCACACTGACGCAGCCTAGCAAGGGGACCCGGCCCATCAGATGCTCTCTGTGAGGCTGTGACTCTTGAATAAATGCTTCAAACGCAGCAGGGCAGTGGCTTTTGAGCGGACTCCTCTGTGCTGTGGCCATGACATTGGTTCCTGCCGCCTGGCCCAGACTCGCTCCTGCCCACTTCCCAAGCCACGGCCTTTCGCCTCCTGTCAATCTGCCACATCCTCTCAGAAAGTCAGAGTTGGTTTCTGCTGCATGCAGCCAAGAACACGGACTGATGCATCAGGTTCCACATCCTCTCCCCTTTTACCTTGCTCTGGAAAAAAGTCCCACCGCTATACCTCTTACCCTATGCTAAATATTCCAGTGTTTATTTCTTTATAGCCTTAGGCACTTCAAATTCATGAAATCCCAAGACGAACTCACTGTGCCCCTTCACCTCCAGCACACTCTTCCTTCGGTAGGTACTATCCTAGGGACCGAAATCACAGTTCACCCAATCACGGGCCAGAAACCTACAAGCCTCCCGACGTATTCCCCTCCACTGACTCCCAGGTCAATGTGACATTAAGCCAGTGGCCTTCTTAAAACAACTCTGGCACATAGGGAGAGAGCCTCAAAGATGGATCAAATAACAGAAGTCCTACAGACTTTCTGAAAATTATCACAGACGACATATTCTAGGAAGAGTATTTCTGGGTTCTGCTCAGCACACAGTCCTAATTTCATGCTGGAGTTTTCTACCATTATTACTATCCTGGGTTATTACTCAGTCTAGTGATGATGGCTAATAATATCTGATTTCAAAAGTAGAACTATTGGTGGTAAATATATTTCAATTTATTAAAAAATAAGGCCCCACGAGCATTAATCAAATTCAGTGTCTAACTCTCAAATACATTCAAATGTGTAAGTTCTCTTTCACACACAAACGTACTCACACCACACACAGACATCATGAAAACATCTGGTTTAATTTATAAAGTTTATTTTTCAATGATCGTCTTTCTATCTTAATTTTTCAGAGCCAGATCATGTTTTATAATGATTGCATCAAAAGTTTCGTGAGTTCTCATTCAAGAGCAGAGTTGGAGAAGGTCCATGCTGGCGTGATCCATCACCTAGAAGAGATTGCAGAGCTGGTGGCGCTGGACACCAATAACTCCCGCACACAGGTTGTCCTGGGAGCATTGCTCACGCTCCGCGTGCACTGCAGAGACATCGTGAGAGATTTACTGCTGAAAGGCATCTCCAGTGCGGGCGATTTTGAGTGGACGAGGTAAGTAGATCCCAGTTACGACTCTGCCTAAAATAACTCGTCACACAGCCAGCTCTAGGTAGATTCATTCTCTACCGCAAATTTTGTCAAACCTGCCTTTGAATTTTCTGGGATTTATAGAAATTCTGGGCAAACTGTGTCAGTTTGAGTCCCCTATGCCTGTGCTTTCTTCCTTCTCTTTTCCGCTGTCCCTCCCTTCATTTTAACTTCCTTCATCTTTCTGGATCGGCTTCGCTCCTCCCATCATTCCGCCAGAGTGCAGCCCTCCCTCAGGCCTCGACTCTCCCCTGTGTGCTGTCCGTTCTGGAATACTCTAAACTGGGAAACAAACCAGAGAACATTTCTAGCCAGTTCTGTACCTCAGAGCTTCCTTTCTTCTACCAGGAGCCTGGTATAGTATATACTCATACATATATATTTCATATATGAAACACCACAAGTGTGAAGCTGTAGGAAAATAGAGCCACTGACCCTGGGGAGAAGAGGAGAGCAAGCATAAGATTCCTATGATAAATGTGAAGTTTCAAACTTCTGAGTTTTTTTTTTTCCTAAAGATTCCTCTGTTCGTGGAAAAATAACTGTCCTGACTGCATAAGGTCTTTGATTCTCAAGAAAAGTTAATTTTTAAAGAAATTCTGCACAAGTATAAATTTCCTTATTTTAGATGTGACAATTTCCTTTAAACTCTAGGGAAAAGGGAGCAGAGAGGCTGATATATTTGACTAACACCACTTGAATTTTACTGAATACTTTATATTTAATATATATTCACATGTTCATTTTACTGCAGAAGTATAACTGTATACCACTTTTAATTGCCAAAGAAATATGCTGTATTGATGAACCATCACCCAAAAGTTCAGTATGTCATTATTACTTTCTAGTAACTCTCTTTGAAAGTGAAAATGACAGGTGGAAGAGCATACTTAGAAAAGTAAAATAGGAAAGACATGATTCTAATCAACTCTGTGAGCATCTATGATTCTAGGGCTACAGTTCCCAAGTTGTATGCCAAAGTGCCCTAAGGCCCCATAGGAACTCAAAGAGTTGAGTTCTCACTGCAAAACATTTTAAACTTTTGAAGGACTCAGAGGGATATGTATCATGTGTCAGACACCAAGCAAACTTGTAGTTCAAAGTAGTTGACAAGTTTAACATTAGACCATTAAGCATTAGAATCATCATAATGATGATTTCTTATTCTTGCAAAGCTATGTTTTGGGCAGTTGCTCTGATAAAAAAGCAAGCACTAAATGAAAACATGGTATAGGAAACAAAATTAACAGTATCCTATCTGATTCTAGGGTTTGAGAAATTGTGCAGTGCACGACAGGTACACACATCCCATTAGTAAGTAACAGTGATTATTCAAGAATGAAATAAAAATTTCATTTCTTTTCAATTTATTTGTATATATTTTAAAAATAAGCTACCAAGTTCATTAAGACAAAAATACCTTTAAACTGCTTTGGGCCTAAAAATTAATGAAATTAACTGTGAAGTATTTCTTTTGACTGAGGTAATCAAGAAAAAAATTACTGATATACTACAGGTGCAGTAAATCAGGCAAGTTTGGGAACCCCTGTTCTAGGGGAAGAATAACAGGGTGAGTAAAGCTCTGGAAATTAAAATTTAAGTGATGATTTAGTACTTGAATCATAAAACAAATCCTGGGTCTTAGGATAGCAGATAGCTTTTACTTTAGTTTATCATTCCTTTACTTCAGTACAGTAAAAGCCATATATGAGGAGCCCACAGCTAACATCATACACAACAGTGAAAAGCTGAAAGCTTTTTTCTTTAAGATTAGGAGCAAGACAAGGATGTCCACTCTCCCCACTTCTATTCAACGTAGTACTGGAGATCTTAGAACAGTTAAATAAGAAGAAGAAAGAAAAGGCATGCGGATTAGAAAGGAAGAAGTAAAACTCTCTCTCTTTGCAGATGACATATGTGTAGAAAACCCTAAAGATGCCACCAAAGAACTGACAGTCCTAATAAAGGAATCCAGTAAAGTTGCAGAATGCAAAATCAATATACAAAAAATCAGTTGTATTTCTATCTACTTACAATGAACTATCAGAAAGAGAAATAAAACAATCCCTTTTGCAATTACACCAAAGGAATAAAATACTTAGGAATAAATTTAACCAAAGAGGTGAAATATCTATACCTTAAAACTCTTATGACATTATTGAAGGAAATTGAAGAAGATGCAAATAAATGAAAAGACAACCCATGATTGAGGATTGAAAAAGTTAATACTGTTAAAAGCCCATGCTACCCAAAGTCATCTATAGATTCAATGCAAAACCTCTCAAAATTCCAGTGACCTTTTTCACAGAAATAGGAAAACCTAAAATTTGTATGGAACCACAAAAGACCTCAAATATCCAAAACAGTCTTAAGAAAGAAGAACAAAGCTGGAGGTATCACACTTCCTGATTTCAAGCTATATTACAAAGCTGTAGTAATCAAAACAGTATGGCATTAGCAAACACATAGACCAATGGAACAGAATAGCCCAGAAATAAAACCACACATATATGGCCAATATATAACAAAAGAGCTAAGAATATACAATGAGGAAAGGACAGTGTCTTCAATAAATGATGCTGGGAAAATTAGATATCCCCACACAAAGAATGAAACTGAACCCCTACCTCATGCCACTCCCAGAAACCAACTGAAATGGATTAAAGACTTGAACATAAGACTTGAAACCATAAACTCTTACTTGAAAACATAAGGCAGTAAACTTGCCATTGGTCTTGGCAATAATTTTTGGATTTGACATCAAAAGTAAAGGAAACAAAAACAAAAGTAAACAGGTGGGACTACATCAAACCAAAAGCTTCTGAACAAGAAAGGAAATCATCAAGAAAATAAAAAGGCAATCTACTGAATGGGAGAAAATATTTGCAAACCATGCATCCACTAAGGGATTAATATCCAAAATATATAAAGAACACCTACAACTCAATAGCAAAAAAAATTTTTTTTGGATTAAAAAATGGGCAGAGGAACTGAATAGACATATTCCAAGGAAGACATACAGATGGCCGACAGGTGCAGGAAACACTGCTCAGCACTTCTCATCATCAGGAAAATGCAAATCAAAACCACAATGAGATACCACCTCACCCCTGTCAGAATGCCTATTATCAAAAAGACAAGAAATAAATTTTGGTGTGGATGTGGAGAAAAGAGAAATTTATACGTCATTGATGGAAATGTAAATTGGTGCACCCACTATGAAAATTGTATGGCATTTTCTCATAAAATTAAAACTATAACTACCATATGATCCAGCAATTCCAATTCTTCGTATTTTCACTAGTGAAGTAAAATCACTATCTCAAAAAGGTATCTGTACCCCATGTTCATCGCTGCATTATTTATAATAGCCAAGACGTTCATTAACTGATGAATGGATAAAGAAAATGTACATGTATAGAATGGAATATCACACAGCCATAAAAAATGAAGTCCTGCCAATTGCTACAACACGGATGGACCTTGATGGCATTATCCTAAATGAAATAGGTCAGACAATGTGTGACCTCACTTATATGTGAAACCCAAAAACACTGAATTCATAGAAACAGAGAAGTGATTGGGGTTGCCAGAGGCTAGGGGCAGGGGATGTGGATAATGGATGAAGGAGGTCAGAGGTAACAAATTCCAGTTACAAGATAAATAAGTTCTGGGGATGTAATGGATAGTGTGGTGACCATAGTTAACAATACTTGATTGTATATTTGAAGGATGCTAAGACAGATCTTAAATGATGGCATCACAAGAAAAATAAATTCATAACTATGTGAATGATAGATGTTACCTAAATCTGTTGTGATCATTTCACAGTATGTGCATATATCAAATCATTATGTTGTACACCTTAAACTAACACTAAGGTCTGGGTCGATATCTCTGTAAATCTGGGGAAAAAGAATACATACTCTAAAGCTACAACTGGGTTGCAAGTTTTACTCATACCCTTATAGAGGAGAAAACTTACGGTTAGCCACACGATTCTCAGTGTTCCTAAGATAAATACCACAATAGCATCTCTCTGAGTTACCCTTGTAGTCAGGATCCTGGTTATAATGAACAATGCCTGAGCCACATCTTTATTGAAAACCATAATACACTTCTTGGGGATGATTCTTGTATAAATCCTCTGTTTGTGCGGTGCCCACATCACAGCAAAGCAGCAGGACTCCGCGAGACCGTTTTCCTCGCGGGGACATTGCTCTCATGCTGGTAGGATTCGGAGTTCTAATATTTCATGTCTAACATCGTCACTGATGAACTGTCCATAGCGCTTTTCATTTTGTTTTAACGTTTTTGTTTTTTTTAGTCAACATCCCAGTTAATCTTTGTTATGTTTCTACATGTGAAAACTAAAACTAATTTTGCCCAAATAATATGCACACTTACAATATTGTTTTCAGGCATTTGCAGTATAAATGGAATGACAAACAGAAGTTGTGCTACGTGTCTCAAGGAGATGCCAGCTTCACGTACGGCTACGAGTACCTGGGCTGCACTCCCCGGTTGGTTGTTACGCCCCTTACTAACAGGTGCTGGCTCACCCTCACCGGAGCACTGCTCCTGAATCTTGGAGGCTGCCCTGTGGGCCCTGCCAGCACGGGCAAAACGGAGAGTGTCAAAGATCTAGCCAAAGTAAGTGCTTCGGTAGCCAAAAATACTGGTTGTTCTGGTCACGCAAACCTTAACAGTATCTTAAATTTACACCATTCCTGCTATTAAGATGTTCGTAACTTTTAACAAACACCTTACCACATTTGTTAAGTCATGTAATTCATCCAGTCACTACATGTCTGCTGTGTGCTGGGATGTGGGACCTCTGTAGGCCAAGTATGCTTCTGTTTACTTGGGATTTGACTGTGCTAACTGATGAGTGAATGGTAGCATCCTGCCCTTCATTTATGGGTGATTTTGAGCTACACACAGACTTCAACCTGGGGTCGTGTGTGTGTGTGTGTGTGTGTGTGTGTGATAGACAGACACAGGGAGAGACAAGTAACTGATGAAAGTGGAAGATATAGTTGGATGTCCTGGAACGACATCATTGAAATGCTTTTTTTTAGTTTTTTATTCATTTACGTGTCTTAAAAACATGACTTTAGTGTTCCACGCACTAATCAACCTAACTAATAGTGTATGTGCATTTATACTCTACTAAGATTTGTGAATTTCTAAATTTGGTATGTAATTCATCTGGAAATTGCAGTTTTCTCAAAAGAGTAAAGGCATTACTCTGGAAGTTTTAGTGTTAGTATTTTGTGTCATAATTCAAGAGATCTTTTAAAATAATTTCTTTGTTTCTCAGTCCTTAGGCAAACATTGTGTGGTCTTCAACTGTTTTGAGGATTTGGATTATAAGGTAAAGCTTATTCATATACATGCAAGAAAAAAATATTGTGCACGTAAAAGAAATAATTTATTAAGGATTGAAAGAACAAGAAAAATATTTCCCTTAGACATTAAGTATTAACAGAACTGTAAATGCTATTAATTCTTCTAAATTAATAGAATAGAAACTTAGAATGTAATAGAAACTTAAAACACTATGCAATTTGCTTTTATGCAACTGAACTACTTCTTAAGACAGTGGTTTTCAAACTTTTTGACAGGGGGATTTTTCCAACAAAATCTGATATGGAACATGAATTTATTAAAAAAAATAGAGTACTGCTCTATTAATCTAAGTTTATTTTATAAGTTCTAACCCTATACTTTTATTTACTGAAAAGGTAATCATTAAGAACAATGAGGCTATTATAATTAACACAGAAATTTGAGTCAGGGTTTGTATTGATGATTACAATTTTATGTCAGCCTTACTTTGTTTTGGTGGCATATTACCAAAGACATAGCTCATAACATTCTGAAATATTTATTGAAATGTCCTGTACCTCTGTGCCGGTCACAGATTTACTTAAAGTTTCGAAACACTCCCATTTATTTTGTTGTGCATGTTAAGTCAAACCATTTACCTTTTATTACAGTCATTGTATTGGCAGCTAAAAGCACATTACCTGTGAGATCCTGCGTTTTCAGTTTGTGCTCAGCACATTAAAAATATCAATAAACATAAATCAGCTGTTTGGATGAGTATTGTTAAGACATAGGGTCCCTAGTTTCCTCCCTGGGAACTGCCCTCCAGTGGGGTGAGCAGGGCTGGGAGCAGTGGAGTGGGAGCCAAGAAACCTGCTAATCAAGATAAATTATCTTTTAATGCAATACTTTTTTAGAATCAAAATTAATGCCAGAAACCCCATGATAAATGAAATATCAAAATGTTCAGGCAAGACACGACCTGATTCCCACAGCCAGTGGGAAGAACCGGCTTCTGTGTCTTGGGCCCAAGGGGCTCTGGTGTGTGTTCCCCGCTCTGCCCCGAGAGCAGACATTCCCTCGCCCGTATTCATCCACATGTGTTGTGTTGGGCCTACAGCGTTCTGCTGGTTTCAACTGCCGGCACGTAGGCATCACTAGGTTCCCCATGCTGGGGGACAGGCCGTGCTGCCCTGCACCTGCCAGGGGCGCTCCGTGGTTGTGCCCAGTGTGCTGGGGGAGGGGGGGCGGGGAGGGCGTGCACTGGCCTCAGGGAAACTGCGGAGCCGCACGGAGCCCAGGCCTACGGAAAGCTTTCACCCACGTGTAATTGTTTTCAAGATAATGGGAAAATTCTTCTTTGGACTGGTGCAGTCAGGTGCGTGGTGCTGTTTGGATGAGTTCAATTGGATTGATGTGCAGGTCCTCTCGGTGATTGCGTCACAGATCCTCACAATCAAGGCAGCAAAAGACAGCTATTCTGTCAGGTACAGGGTGGATGTGTTTGGTCACTTAATGTTCGATATTTCTTCTCCAAGAAGGGCTTGGGTGTTGTTTTCTTTCTAAACACAGACCAAAAGGAATGACATCTTGGATGTCTCCTTTGCTGGGCAAGTACCATGCAAACATATGTAACTAACCTTCATGCCAGCCTAGGGTACCCAGGCTCCCGTCCAGCCTTGGAACGGTCTCTGGGCCACCAGGACAGGTCACAGATCTATCCAGTTACTTTTACTTCGGGGTTTAAATTCCCTTAGTACCTTTCCATGTTATGATGTTGCACTTGAAGAAACTGAAGTATTTTTCTTTAATTCTACAGCTTTTTAAAAAACAAATTATACTGGCCACATACCTGAAGCCTCTCTTATCCCATTACTCTGAATTAATATACTTTTATTTTTTTAAAAATCCTGTAAAAATAATATTTGTATGTTAGGATTACTAACATTTACTAATCTAAGCAAAATTTTTTTCTCTTCAGAAAAATTCAGGAACTCACATGATTTACTTTATGGGCATAATTGAATTTGTGGGTGTAAAATTTCTATTAGGATCTAATATTTCTTTTTTTTTAAATTTTATTTTTTTAAGTAATCTCTACACCCAGCGTGGGGCTCAAACTCACAACCCCGAGGTCAAGAGCCACACACTCCTCTGACTGAGCCAGCTGGGCACCACCCCCACCCATATTTCTAATTCAGGCTAATGGATGCTCACTTCTGGCTTTACTCTCAAGGATTTTGTTCCCACCGTGAGAGTCAGTGTCGCAAGGCTCACACATCTGTGGGTGTAAGTGGGGGTCACAGGAGGCCACACATCACCAGTTCTCAAATGCGCCTCACTGTCTGCCAGGCTTTCCTCTGTTCTGTCCAGGGAGTCCTCAGCTTCTGTTCCCAGTATTTTTCCTTTCCAGCTTCGACCACCCTCACTGGATTCACCTGTCCGTAAGGTCACCAGAGCATTTCTCTCCATGGCCCCTATCTCTGGTGCTGACAACAGGACCCTAATCTCCAGGCCAAGGTGCTACTTCACAGCGGTCCCAAAATTATTTGATTGGGGAATTGGGGGCAGGCTGCATTGTGTGCTAACACAAGAACTCTGTGCCATGGCCACCCTTTGCTCTGTGGTGTCACCCAGGGAGAATTCTGTGTCCGAGGGTCTCCTTGGATTCTTTTCCCTGTTCAGTCAGGTCATTCAGGTGGTTGCCTTCTGGCCTTAGGCCCCACAAACTCTTTAGACATGATCAAATAAATCTGAAACCCCAGAGCACCTGGATGACACAGTCGATTAAGCATCCTACTCTTGGTTTTGGCTTAGGTCTTGATCTCAGGGGGTTGTGAGTCTGCTTGGGATTCTGTCTCCCTCTCCCTCTGCCCTTCCCACCCGTACTTTCTCTCCCCCTGTCTCTCAAATAAATAAATAAATCTTTAAAAAAAAATCTGAACCCCAGCAGGGCTCACAACTTTGGCTCAAGATGACCCTCTTCTTTCCCCTTTTAAAATTATTTTTTTCCCAGCATGTGCTGTTTGGATTTAAGTGTAACACAGCCTTAGGAACGTTCCCAAACTCGCTTATTGTTTTAACATAGTTTGACTTAGAAAAAACAGTTCTCTTAGTAATGAATACTATAATGGACAGGGGAGGAAATTTTTCCTTTACCTGTCTTGGTTCTTTTGGCTGGTCTATTAATTAAATTGGCATAAGATAAATTAACAGGAGAAAAGGTTAATTGTGTACATACATGAGCCTCACACAGATATGAGAGGTTCAGAGACAGGCAATTAAGGTTTGTATGCCATCCTGAGCTAAGGAGAAGGGGGAAGGGGCCTGGGGCTACAAAGGGAAGAAAGAGAAGTCACAGGGAACTGGAAAGAGTAAATGTTTGGTGAACAAATATTTGTCGTGCCCTGCAGAGACAGCGGGACAGAGAGGAATTTGAATGAACGGGCCTGCTGAGCTCCCCACAACTTACCACACCCGGCCCATATTCTCTGTAGTTGTCTCTGGTGAGAGCTGTCTTTCTAGACCCGTTCCTCTGTCTAAACTCTTAGAAACAGTTAAAGGGGGGAGGTAAAAAGCTCTTTCTGAGTCTTTTGGGCCTTCATTGTCTTCAGCTAAAAATAATGCACATAATGAAGTGGCACATTTTGGGGGGTGCTCATTCTGAACCCCTTCCAATGTCTTGTAGGTTTGTACTGGAAGGAAAAGAAATTCGTATCAACATGTCTTGTGCAGTATTTGTCACCATGAACCCTGGGTAAGCATCAGTTAATCTAAGTTAGGAATGGAGGCAAAGTCGTTTTCTGAGATGTTAGCCATGATTCAGTTGTATGACATTGTAATGTACCATTCACCGCCACCACTTGACTCCCTCCTCTGCCCGCACACTTATAAACAGCTACAGCTCCATACTCGTCCACATGGGTGGTCTCACATTAAGTTTCTGACTGAGGGACATTTTCACTTCAGGAATAGCCAGAGAGAAAGGAAAAGGTTAGCTGCTGGTCACAAAGGAGACAGACAAAAAAGCGGAGAGTAGCAGAAGGAAGGGAACTTGGTGGTTACAAGGAGTGGAGGCCGGGCAGGCTCAGTAAACACCTGTTGAGAGAACGTGGTGACAGTCGGGGCAGGAGCAACCTGATGTGAGGTGCACTGTGGGAGGAGGCACAGAAAGAAAAGTCGGTAGAGGGGGAAGCTCCTGAGATGAAAAGTACAATAGAAACTGTCTTATACGCTTGTTTTCCCAAATGAAGGTCACGTAGGAAGCGAACAGGATTATTCTGGGGAAAACGATATTGTGTGGTTCCTCCTCAGAAAACCTGAAAACTGAAAAACTGCTTTTTTGTTTTTGTCGTTTCTTTGTTTTTCTTACCCTCTTAAGGTACAAAGGTCGAGTAGAACTCCCAGATAACTTAAAGTCTCTGTTTCGCCCTGTGGCAATGATGGCCCCCCATTATCAAATGATTACTGAAATTATGCTGTTTTCACTTGGTTTCAAATCTGCAAAATCACTCTCTGGAAAGCTGGTTAGCGTTTATGAATTAGCTAGTAAGCAGCTCTCACAACAGGTAACAAACTGCTTCTCTCAACGTAAAGATGATTATAGAAAATTCTAAATAAGACTTTTCTGGTCTTATTTAGACCAGGGATGACCTGGGGAAATAACGGAGTGAGAATCCCATCAGCGCTTCAAGGTGGCGAGCCAGCGTGGATGTGAGGTGGTGTGTAAAATCAGTAGGGTTGCAGGCCTTACATCCGGGACCTGGAGAGAATGATAGAGAAGCTGCTGTGTTAAATCATGGACTACTTCCTCCGTACAAGGGAGTTAGCTTCTATAGCAACGACTCTCACACTTTTTTGTGCTTCGAGATAATTGGGGGGATTTGTTAAAACACAAATCACTGGACCTTACCACCAACCTTCAGCTTGTCTGGGGTGGCCCTTGAGAATTTGCATTTCTAACCGGTTCTCAACAGTTCCTGATGTGGCTGATCTGAGTACCACACTTTGAAAATGACTGTTCTGGGATATGCTGGCTTAATGAGTATTTGTTTATGACTCAGCATGGTTTGGACAACCAGCCACACTAAGTGTTCTTCTTTATCATATTCTTTCAGTTCCTCTCTCCAGTTCAGAGAAAATTTAATTTAGATACTAATAGTTTTTAACAGCTTTAATACTTGTGACTCTCTCTTTTAAGAAAGAGACTTAGGGGCATCAGTTTGGTGGGGGAAGTGAGGGCATTGGAAGCTGAATGCAGGCTTTCTTGAGTTACATCACGGTCTCTCTCCACAGGGTACAGATTAGGGATTTAACTGCATAGGATATGCATTTATTTCCAAGTCATCCCATTTTTCCTTCAGAAACTTAGTAACTCAGATATTTTAATGCTTTATAGGATCATTATGATTTTGGCTTGAGGTCTCTGAAGACCGTTTTAATAATGGCTGGAAAGAAGAAACAGATGTTTAAATGGTGAGTTGAATTTTGAATCGTTAAGTCAAAGGGAGTTATACAACACAGGGAAAATAATTGGTAAAAGTCTAAGTAACAATGACAAGATAAAACAGGGAGCTCCCAGAATGTCACAGTGAAATATGGTAGAGATGTTTAAGAATGTGAAAGAAGAGGAAGAAAAAAATGCACAAAATCCCTGGGTACTTTTCCCCCGAAGAACCTATTCTTTAAAAAAATGTATCTTGGGGCGCCTGGGTGGCTCAGTTGGTTAAGCGACTGCCTTCGGCTCGGGTCATGATCCTGGAGTCCCGGGATCGAGTCCCACATCAGGCTCCCTGCTCAGCGGGGAGTCTGCTTCTCCCTCTGACCCTCCTCCCTCTCATGCTCTCTGTCTCTCATTCTCTCTCTCGCAAATAAATAAAAAT